GGGGGGGGGGCGGGTGTTATTGTGTGAAGTGCTGACTGGTCTTGAAGAAAACAACTTTGCCTTTATTATCAGCACCTTGAGGCCAGGTGAGGCTCCTGAGAAGGGAAGCTGACCAAGTGGAAAAACCTGGGGCCCAATGCTGACTAAGCCAGAGGCAGCACGAGGTGATCGATGATGACCACAGGCCGAGAAGAGTCTTGAAGGTGAAGGCTCAAAGGAGCTTCCTGGGTAGCACTGAAGGAGAGAAGGAAGCCTGTCTCTTCGGGCTGTAAAAGTTTTGTGCTATGACCCCCCTCTGGCCATAGTCCGAGTGTGTCTGTATTGTTTTGGGTTGTGATAACGTTGCATCTGCAGGATCTTAGACCCTTGGTGAGAGTCTGAGCCCCTGGCACAGATTAAGGAACTCAAAGCAGAGAGAGCCAGCGGGGCTGGCATCTGTCCATGGGGACAGTGTGAAAGAGGGTGTCCTAACTTGGGAGTTCTGACCCAGTGAGGGCAGGGGAATGTGTTACCTGAGTCGCTGGCGAGCAGGAAGGTAGAGTGGGAAGGGGAAGACTGGATTCACTTCCACACTTTGGGAATTGGATTCATGCTGCCCCACATGGCGCAGTGGCAGTCAAAGTGGACCTGTCGACCTTGAGCCTTGCTTTAGTGCGGGCAGGGATGCGAGGGCGGAGAAGCCAACATTTGCGGACCTGGCTTGGTGGATGAATGTTGAAGCTCCGTTTCGAGACACACCTTGTGCATTATTGTTTACATTTCTGACTACAGTCCTGGGGGATCATTATGATTTCCAATTTAGAGATGAGGTTAATGTGTTGCAGACACCAAGTAACTTTCCCATGGTCACGGTGTCATTCAGATGCACAGAATAATCCCTATCAAAGCGGTCCCTGAGAATGCAGGCTGGCAGGGGACATACAACGTATACCTCGAGTGTGGGAGAGGTGTCTTATCAGTCCAAAGTATAAGGTCCATGCGTTTATTGTTTCATTAAAAATTGGAAATCAATGCAAACATCCATGATCTTCCTATCTTTTCTTCTCTCCCCCTCCCCTCTTTTCCAGAAATCAAACCAGGAATAACCTATGCTGAACCCAAGCTTCAATCGTCTCCAAGTGTTTCCTGACACGCAGTTCTGCCTACGGTCCATCACAACTGAAGAATGGGGCTCAACTTGACACTCACTAAACTACCAGGTAAAAGCTCGGGAAAAGATGCAAAGATGACCTTACCTGATCAGTACCTGTAACTCCAACAGAACAGGCTAACAACATACAGGAGGGCGTCTGCTTGCCTTCCACTAAATGAAGAAGAGCCAATACACGGGGTTGCAGTACTCAACGCACGTTCAACTCCCGAGGGGGGCCATCTGGAGACCATCTCGAAAATTAATATTCAGCTTGAATCATGAAATCAGAGACTAGTTTTGAAACCCCAACACAATTACATAGGACTTTCCAAATGCAATATTACATATCGAGGTTCACGAATGTTCCTTAGAAGCCAAAACAAACGTCAACCTCCACTCTGGGAAGCTATTTAGGAAATGGGGACACAAGGGCACTTAGTTGTGCCACGGTAGTTTAATCCACAAGTTGCATGACTTTAGAATTTCATGCCTGCATGGCAGGTAGTCAAACAAACAAATGCAGTGCTATGGCGTTGATTCCACTCAAGGCTGACCCTAGAGAACAGAGTAGCACTGTCCCCCTGGGTTTCTGAGACTGGAAACCCTTCCATGAGCAGAACAGCCTCCTATTTCTCATGCCGAGTGGCCGGTGAGCTCGAACTGCTGACCTTTTGGTTAGCAGCCTACTGCCTACTCCACTAGGCCATCAAGGACCCTACCTGGCAGAGAGCAGGGATGTCCTGTTGATGCCTCCATTCTGTGCCAAAGCCTGCGGTGCCCAGTGAGCAACACTGAGCCAAACGGCTGGAGGCAACAGGACCTGGAGGCTTCAGCTCCTTTTCTGTCCTTCGCTAGCTGGGGGGCGGGGCCGGCGCTGCTGTGGATAGGTCTGGTTGTAACCGACGCTTTCTGCTACAGAACAACCCCCTACCATCTATAGGTATTGTGCAAGAAACAATGTTTGCGGAGCCTCTAGATCCTAGGAGACCCAACCAAATAATGATCGCCTATTGCGTTTCACAAAGCCAGCGAGTGACTGAACTCCCCACTTCCGATCGGACTGGTTCTGGAAGTGTCGCCCAGGAAAGCCACACGGGATGACTGACCCGCTTAGGATGGAGAAACAGCACTTTAAACTGTATCTGAGTTGCTGAAGAGTTACGTTTAGATGGTCTGACGTGGTTAGTGCTTACCTCTGGCTAGACAGCCCGTGCAGTCCGCTGACATCCCCATTTATGTGTGCGCTCTGTATCCCAAGTGCACAGCCAGAAACCCACTGCTGGCAAGTCGACGGTGACTCGTGGTGACCTTATAGAAAGTCAGGCTAGATCTGCTTCCTTGGGCTCCCAAGGCTGAGATGTGCCACGGAAGGAGATGGCCAAGTCTTTCTCCCACCGAGTGGCTGGTCAGTTTGAACCAGTGTCCTTTCCCTTAAGGGCCCGATGGTCGACTGAGAGCCGCCAGGGCTTCTGGTCGCACTGAAGGCACAGCACAAGCATCCACGATGGACCCGGGGGCCTTTAGCAGTCAGGGCATTTGTTAACTAGTGTCAGGAGTCGGACGTAAAGAATGACTTCATGAATCCAGGAGCCACTCTGGTTGAAGCTCTGTGCTCAAGGGAAAGGGGGTGTCAGGCTAGTAAGTGAAGTGGGGAAAACAGCCTTTGTGCCCCCAAAGCAGCTTCCCCGTTTTCTTCATTGACTCACACCGCAACAGTCCTGGAGAATGGTTCCCGACCTGGCCTAATTCCTCACTGGCAGGAAAGAGCCAAAATGATAAAACTTCCTGGTGGAGACGGTCCTTTGCCTTTCCGGGTCTGGAGAGCCACAAAAGCCAAAGGCAGTGCTGGTGAGCCCGGCCACACGCTCCCCGCGAATGTGGGCCGGTCGAAGAGACACAAGAGGAAGCGAGGAGCTGGCAGGGGGACCAGGACCACGCAATACACCTCTTGCCAAAGAAGCCCATCAATGACACGCAGCTCTCCATTGAGGGCTGAGCCTACCAGAGCTCCCCACGCCATGCCTTTTCACAGAACAGCCCCTCCCTAACAGGCTGGAACCACTCAATGTGCTTAAGCTGCGTTGTAAATGCGGCAGGTGTGCCTGAAGTAACAAATAATCACCTGGGGCCGATCCCACAGAATTAAGATGTCTTATATCCCCACATGCTAATCCCAAACATAAACGGAGGGAGAAACACCCCGTGAAAGGAGCACAACTAGCCAGTTTTAGGACAGGTGGTCTCGGTGCCCCAGGACAGTTCAATCAGCGCTGTGGAACGAGGCCACTCCTCCTTGTTAGTCGTTGGTCCCAAGACACGTGGTCAACACAGGGACCTCCTGACCTTCTGATTCAAGACGCCATCGTCAGTGATCATCCTCATTGTTAAGTCAACATTGCTTCATACGAATGCTTGCTCATATAATTAAAACTTTAAAATCTAATAATCTAGTGAAGAGACACACGATCCCTACCCGCCCCGTGGCGGGAGGGGCTCTTGCACTGTGACTGTGGGCAGATTCAGCGAGGCCACCAGAGCGGATTCTCAGACTCACAGAGTGACCGGCCCCATAGGGCCTACGGGGCAGGTAGAGCGGCCCCATAGAGATGTCAAGCTCACCGCCTCTTCCTTCTCCCAGCAAGTGGCTGATGGACTCAAACTGGTGACCTTTTGGCAGCCTAACACAAAATCACTGCTTCACCAAGGCGCCTTCTGAGTGGGCTACAGTGAGTGAATGATTCTATTTGCATTCTGCTTTCAAACCAAACGGTAATGTCAAGAGAGGGAGTCCCTTATCAAGCAGGCTGCATCCCAAGGGGGACTTTTTAAGTTAATAAAAATGTCTTTATTTCACGTCTGTTCAGGTTCTACCCAGAGGAGATGAAAGCGATTACTAACAGTCACTTGGATAAGTTAGTGCAAGCACCTAACTGCACCTCTTACGAGCCTCCCGAGGTGGGTCTTCTGGGGCAGAGGCGGCCCAGGAGGCAATACTTCGCCAAATCGAAATGCACTTGAGAGACCCTGCTCACGAGGAGCTTTCAATCTGGCAGCCGTAATGTGAACGGCAGCTGAATCAGGCATTTTAAACTTGTAAAGCTTAATAATACTCTGGATCTTTAACAGGCTGGCCCAGGTATCAATTACGGGCCTCTCTGAGGACATTTAAGCCAGGAAAACCAGTTTTTTAAAAACACTCAGAGCAGGGAATAAAAGACCAAGAATTAGAAAGAGAACAAGGTTACTCCCGGAAAGCCTACACCTAAATTCCAGCCAGCGATTTGAGAACCTGTTTTTGGATGAGAATCATCAAAACTATCTTCCCTATTTCATTTCTTCAAAGACATGAACCGAGTAACACCACCCTGCCCGTGTCATGTGAGGAGAGTTCGATTCCTGTGGTGACCTCTGCAATAGAGTCATTACAAACCCCAATGCTAGCCATCCCGTTCCTAATTAGTCATGGAAAGTGAAAACTGCAGAATTTCCGTTCTTTCACAGCTGTTCCCCTGGCCGGAGGGTGGAAGGGGGGCGATGCATTTCTAAATTGTTAGTTCAGGTTCTCCAAGAAGAAGATTGGAGGGCCCAAAGATCTATTAAGGGGCAACCTGCAAGCTAAAGTCCAGGAAAAACCCATCAGGGGAAAGAGCAGGAGCCAGGGGAGACCTGCTAGCCTTTCACTCTAAGGCTGGTCTGCCACCAGTGCAGGAAACAAGGAAGGAAACAAGGAAGGAAGGAAGGAAGTTGCGTGGGAGAGTTGGGCTGTAGGGCCGTTTTTAAGAATGTGTTGAACAGATAGATGAGGAATCCTCTGGTCAAAGTTATTCATCAGAGCAGTCCCTCCTAGAGACTAGGCAAGAGCCGTCTTAGTCCCCAGGTGCGCTCCGCTCCGTTACGAACTGGGGGTCTGCCCCGGGAATCATGGGATTGGCAACAAGGCAGTGGGTGATTCCGAGCACTGCAGCTCGAATTGCCCCCTAGTTCTGTCCCTGCCCTGAGGAGATCCGAGAGCCCCGTTGTCCGGGCTGGCACGGGGAACTCATGCTCCTGAACCCTTTCACTGACTATATGATGCTCACGAGTGGTCTGGCACAGGGCTTTCGTAACATGGACTCTGACTGACAGCTAAGGAAGCTGACAGACTCCATGTAATAAACACAGGAGGCACAATTCAGCCGCATGCATAAGGGTGGACCATGCATATATATACACACACACACACACACACACACATATACATATATATATACATATATATAGCATGTTACACTTATTTTTAACAAGTGTCCTCTTTGAAAACACTTACGTAGTCATCACAAGAAAACAAAATTAACATGTTCCACTGAACTAAAGAGA